GTGCTATTAGTCATCTGCATTATATTGTGGAAGTGAACCTAGAAACAGCGGCGGAGCAAGCCCATCAGGTGTCTGGGGCGGTGTGCATGCCCTGCGCCCAGGGGTGGGGCCAGCCGTCCGTGGGGGCGGGGCCAGCCGGGGCAGGATGCTCTGTGGGGCCTCTGAGGAGTCTGCCTGCGTCCTCCCACTCAGCTGCCCTACAGCTGAGGGTGAGGCAGAGGGCAGACGGTTTGGGGCAGCACGGAACCTGCGGGAGCTCAAGCCACCGTGTCACTCCCAGGAGAGATGTGTGGCTCGGATGCACTGCAGGCCCCACAGTGAGTGCCGCCTGGCATTTTGTCACCCCCTTCAGTGGTGACACCCGGGGCAGACCGCCCCCACCGCTCCCCCTTCCTCCGCCCCTGCCTAGAGATGCCTTTGTATTTAAATTATTCCATATCAGTATGAACAAATAAAACTCAACTTCTGCTGCCTCTGGTAGTTTTCAGTTGTTCATGAAAATGTTTGTGCTAGTTACATTGAACCATTTATTTGTAATGGTGCCATTCTATAGACACTTGTACATTTAGTTTGAAATAGGCTGAGAACCACATGTTAACGGTTACTAACTCCAGTCTGCTCCCACCACTGGTAGTTGAAGCTAGTGGTATCCTACATCTTAGGGAGAAATTTTCCTGTTTGATGCACTTTCTGTCAAAACGGCCTCCATCTGATTCGGAAACAGAAGCTGTGGTAAAGCTGAGGTGTGTACGCTGGAGACAGCCATTGCACATGCACAAATGACAGCCCATGTGCAGATGACAGTTTCAGTAAATTTGAGTTTGGCATGGGGAATCAGGTAATGTGCATCCTCACAGCAGGTAATGTGCATCTTCACAGCCTTCTAAGTCAGGGAACTTAGAAGGCTGTGAGAATGCACGTTACCTGATACATCCTCCAGGGCTTTTCCCAAGCAGAGAATGTGTTTGCATGAAGCCAACCTCTCCTTCACCCTCTTCGTGCCGCTTCTGGTTCTGGGAGACAAGGAGCGGGGATGTTATGTACTGAGTTGAATAGGATCCAAAATGCAGCAGTCTGATTGGTCCTAGAAAAATAGGATTCAGAATGCATCAGTCTGATTGGTCCTAGGAAAATAGGACCCAGAATGCAGCAGTCTGATTGGTCCTAGAACAATAGGACCCAGAATGCAGCAGTCTGATGGGTCCACAGGAGCCACCCAATCCAGCTCCAGGTGGAAGTGAATCCGCAACCTGATTGGCCTACAGGAGAATCCCGGAATTAGCCAATCACGTGGGGCCCATTGTGTAAATAATGTATATAAAGCAGACATTCTGGGGGAACTTCCATTTTTTCCCTTAAAAGTATAAAGTGGTATAGAAATGAAAGGAACAACGACAGCAACAGCAACAACTAGCCTAGCTCAGGTGGTGGGCAAGCAGGAAACAAAAATATGAAGGGCTGTAGATATGAAAGTGAGCTCATCCACTGACCCTTCGCAGAGGAAATCCGATAAGGCTTAAATGGTTGCAGAACTGCACCCTTTGGCCACATGCACGTTTCCTACAGCTACCCCCCAAACTATTTATTGATCTGCTCTGGAATGATTTCATAGCATGTGAAAACTTGCTACTGAATTAGCATGGTGTAGCAATTGGACTTTGGGAGGCTCCTGGAGGCAGGGAGTGGCAGGGTGGGATGCAGGAATCTGCAGTAACAGCTGAGGCCATTAAATAGATCTATATCTCCGGAATTGCTGAAGCTGGTCCACATCTGCTTGGTTTTTCGCCAAAGGAGCAGCTCACTTGGGTAGTATATATAGAAAGACTGAGTGGGAGAGGGTGGGGGTGGGAGAAGCTAAGCACTTCTTGGTAGGCTTTTGCAACCCTTGAAGTACTAGAATGGGGAATGAACTCTTTGCATCACACAAAAATAAAGGCAAGCATGTCGCTTGATCTCTGCTGGCTGCAACACACAAGCCAGACACAAGTCATTCATCTGACTTCAGGAACACTTTTAGAAGACTCTTTGAGAACCAGCCTCAGAATTAGAACAGCATTTGGTGGCTTACCGGTGCCTTTGCCATGTGGATTATGTTGTTTGCAAACTGTGAAATGCCAAGATGCCAAATCCTTTTGTTGCTGGAAAACACCCCCTTTTGTTGACCAGATGCCGCCAGCTATTTATTATTGTTGTTTCTCTGCAAGGGCTTTGCAAAGCACGAGCATGTGTTATATGGGATTAACCCTGCCGGCACACAGGCACCCACCACATGAGGCACTGCCAATTAAACTGTCAAATGTCAGGAGAAAGCAATAGGTCAGACTGATGGCAAAGCTTTTGTCTTTCTGTGATCGGCGTGAATCTCTGTTTTTAACTAGTCTTTGAGTAACAAAGAAATAAAAAAAACCCAACACCTTGGGATACATTTGTAAAGATCCATATCTGCGCATTTGTTTCTCAGGGGTAAATAGGCAACCATCTCCTGTGATCTAAGATGCAGGCTTGTGGCATGTTGTACTATGCAGCACATTTAAAACACAGAATGATAGGCTCATAAGGTAAAGGTACCCCTGCCCGTACGGGCCAGTCTTGCCAGACTCTAGGGTTGTGCGCTCATCTCACTCTATAGGCCGGGAGCCAGCGCTGTCCGCAGACACTTCCGGGTCACGTGGCCAGCATGACAAGCTGCATCTGGCGAGCCAGCGCAGCACACGGAATGCCGTTTACCTTCCCGCTAGTAAGCGGTCCCTATTTATCTACTTGCACCTGGGGGTGCTTTCAAACTGCTAGGTTGGCAGGCGCTGGGACTGAGCGACGGGAGCGCACCCCGCCGCGGGGATTCGAACCGCCAACCATGCGATTGGCAAGTCCTAGGCGCTGAGGTTTTACCCACAGCGCCACCCGTGTCCCTTAATAGGCTCATACACTTGCCTTATTATTATTATTATCCTGGTGTCAACCTGGGGCCAAGAATGATTTAGGCTGCAATCCTAAACACACTTTCCTGGAAGTAAGAACCATTGAACTCAATGGATATTGCTTCTCAGTAAGCCATAAATAGGATCACACCGTTAATAATTTGGTATAACTCTGTGCTGCTATACCATTCCCTAAGTTAGACATATAAAAATACTTTATAATCTTCCTTCATGGTTCTCAGTGTTAGAGCAGGGGATGGAAAGAGCTCTTACTACAGTCATAAATGGTACACAAAGAAATGTGCTTTTGGCTTAGATCCAGAGATATATGGGGAAACTTTTACACATGTAGCCAGGTGGTTTTTTTTACTCTCTGCTGCATCATCAGAAGTCAAGGTTTTTAAAAGTTGCTTGAAAAATGGCTGGGAGAATTTGGGGGAGACAGAATTCTCAGTTTTGTGATATACATTTGTCCTTTTATCTTGTTGTGATCCAGTTTTAAGGCAATTTTACTGAATGTTGTTTCCATTTTTACTATTCTATTTTTATTATAAACTGCCTTAGAGAGTTTTTTTTTAAGTGGCATTAATTTTAAAATACATAAAGATATGATGTGTGTGTTTGAAGCTCTCTGCAGAAGATCAATGTCTTCTACAAAGTTGCAGGCTTTTCTTTTGCAGACCTAAAATCGATTCAAATTAGAAAATGCTGAAGATGCATTCACATATTCAAATACAACCAGGGAACAAAATTTTAAACCCCACAAAATAGTTTTATAGCTTCAACTCACAAAGAGAAAGCAGCAACAGCGTAGGGAATAGACTGAGCTGTGATCAAAGAAAACACTGGTCCCAATCACACATGTGCCATGAATTCCCTAGATGCCCTGAGGCATGTGACTGATTTTCAGCATCCCAGAAAGGAATAGCTGTACTGACCAATTGTTGACTTGTGAGCTAGAGTCAGGAACTGGCCTCCTTGAGGAGCTGACAGCACCCACCAGTGATGTTTGCCCTGGGCACCACTTAATATCCTACCTTCTAAGCATTATGAGCATGGGCATAGCCAGGGGGGGCAGCTGCCCCCCAAATCAATAAAAATACATAGCATAATGTAGGTTCTGCCTCCCCGTAACAAAAGGCTTGTCCTCCCCCCACAAAAATCCTGGCTTCGCCCATGGTTATGAGTTCACCAGGCACATTTCACAAAGCAATGCATTGTGGGAAATTAAAATAACAGGTCTCACCTACTCACCTTTGCTCAGAGAGCTGCTGCCCACTGGCACTGTATTAGGCTGTATGTCTGAGTCCCTTCTAATTCCTGGATCCAGCAAGGATTCAGTTGTTGGAGTGGCCAGGCCAGCTTCTTGGTAATGGCAACTAAGGAAGGGTCATTAGGGTAACAAAGGAAGTAGCTCCGTGCCAGACATCAAATGGGTAGGCCCCTCTCCCTCAACCTGTTGATAGTCAAGAGGACAAAAGCACTAGCTGAGGGGTGGGTGGGTGGGTGGGTGGGTGGGTGTGGGTATGGGTGTGTGTGTGTGTGAGAGAGAGAGAGAGAGAGGAGCAGGCAGAAGGAAGAAGGCCGAGAGGGAAAGCAAGCTTAATTTCTTTTTATTATTATTATAATTTATTAAATAGTAAATTTTATTAGTATTTTCCACACAACAACAACAAAAAATAACAATACACAAAAACAAGCATATAAAAAAAAATCCAAATCTTACAAATGAATAATATAAACACTAAAAAGGAAAACAAACATTGACGTCCACCAATTCCACAGCACCTCCTTTGCCTCTCATTCTATCTCTTGTTGCCAAGCTTAATTTCTGCTTGAATCCAAGACTTAGGCTATGAGAGAAATTTAAATACTTCTCGGGGTGTTAATGCTGTGAGCCCCTCCAATGTGGACTCAGGTTGTATATCTGTATCCTCATTTGCGCGCTTTGGACTCCGCTTAAAAAATTGCGCGCCTCCTCCATTGGTCTCCGTCGAGCCCCCCCCCCCCCCCCAGCTGGAGGAGAAGCGCGCTCAACTTTCTTCCCAGTGAACTTGCCTGTTGCTCCAGCCGCAAAACAGCCAGCCGGCCCCCCCGCCCCTCCCAGAAAAGAAAAGCGCGCCGGGGGTGGAGGCTGCTCCACGCTGCTGCTGCTCCTCCCTCCCGCCTCCTGGCTCTGGCGGGCCGGCTCCTTTGTACGCCCGGCAGAAGCTGAGGGGCGTGCAGGGCAGCTCCATCCTGGCTCTTACCGCGACGCGACCATGAAACTTCAGGCGGCGGCGCCCGCGCCTTTTCTCCCGCTCCGGCCGCTGCTGCTGCTGCTGCTGCTGCTGCTCCTGCAGGCTGTGGCAGGACGAAGCTCCGCTTACGGCAACCGCTACGCCGGGTAAGTGTGCCGAGCGCAGCCCTCTCCAACCCAGTGCCTCTCCAGAGGCTGCTGCGCTCCAGCTCCCCTCATCCCTGACCATTGGGCGTGCTGGCTGGGGCTCATGGGAGCAACGTCTGGAGGCGCATCAGGGCGCGGAAGTAGCGCCTCTCTTGCTCTCATCTTGCACTTTGCACGGGCTGGTGGCAGCCACTGTTGGGGAATTGTGAATCGTTATAATTGTGCTCTTGGATTTAGCGTCGGAGGACCTTGATTGTTCATATCTCACTTATTTAATTTCTGAGGGAACCGTGGCTTTCGAGATGTTGTTGGATTTTCAGGATGGGCAGTGCAATTCCAGGGATGTCTAAACGTCTCATCCTCCTTGGCCGCTGGCCATGCTGGCTGGGGACTGAACTGAGTTCTGCAATGTGCGAAGGATCCAAAGGTTCCTTGCAGAAAGCCCTTGAGTCTTCAGGAGTATGCACCTGAAGGTATGAATGCTAATAGGCATTCTACTTTACTGATAAGGCTTGGTTTCCAGACCCTTTTAGCATCATAGTCACCCTCCTCTGCAGTCCTTCCAGCTTGTCAGTATCCTTCTTGAACTGTGGTGCCCAGAACTGGACACAGGACTCCAAGTGGAGTCTGACCAAGGCAGAACAGAGCAAGATTGTGACTTCCCTTGATCTGGATGTTAGACTCCGGTTGATGCAGCCTAAATTGCATCAGCTTTTTTTTTTTGCTGCTGCATTATACTGTTGATTCTTGTTAAACTTGTGGTCTGCTAAGACTCCTAGATCCTTCTCACATTAGATGATGTTGTGCAGGGCTTTTTTCCCCCCAGCTGGAACTTGCCGGAACTCAGTTCCTGCACCTCTCAGGTGGGTGCCATTGCCATTACAAGAGAGAGATCCATGGTGAGTTCTGGCACTTCTTTTTCTAGAAAAATGGCACTGCATACAATAATTTGAATTTACAAATTGCTAAGCATCGTGGCAAACCACAGCTCTCGGAATTGGCAGTGCAAGCTGACCTATGTCAGACAATTAAGTCCTGTTGAGCTAAACAGAACTTACTCCCAGTTAAGTGTGTACAGTATATAAGACTGAAGCCTAAGACTTGAAGCCTTAGACGCACAGAAAAGTAGCCAGAACAGAAATGAAGATTCCTTTCGAAGTGAATTATTTTTCGTCTTCTAGCTCAATCCCCATAATTCCCACAAACTTGTGCACAGGGTTGCAACCTTAACATTTACTCAGATGGAAGACCCATTGATATTAATGATGGACAACCTATGCTAATAAAGGTGGCCACTGATTAAACCAAAATGGATTGATCCAGATTGTTGTTATTAACATCTATAAGCCCCTCCACGGCTCTCTGTGTGACTCACAAGCATAACATGACAGACTACAATTACATTTTGTTCTCTCTTTTTTCTTGTACATGTTTTTGTTGCTAGCCGTCTTGAAACCTTGGTGAGAATGCAGGGTATACATTCTGAAAACAAACAAATAAAATAAAACATTTTAAAGCCCATAAGCAAATAACCAAATAGGTGTGAAATGACACAAGAAGTAGGCTGGCATGATACTGGCAAGAGGAAGATGCAGGTAAAAATACAATATGTTCCACCCCCTACCCACCTCCCCATGATGGAATGGCAGATAATACTTAGAGCAGGATGGAGCAGAACTTCAAGTCCACCGCCAGGCCAGAGCAACAGAGTTCTCTCCATTCCAGTTGTGGAGATTCTCGTTTCACTCATGTAGTAAAATAATTCCTTGAAGCCCAAAACAGCTGCTGTGCAAATCCAACTTCCGCCTTTGAATTTTTCTGATGAATTTTATCAGCACTAGCTCCATCTTAGAAGGGATGGGGACCCTGTGGCCTTTGAGGTATTGTTGGATTCCGCTATCACTAATGATTAGGGATGGAAGGAGTTTTAGTCCAGCCACATCCAGCGAGCCAAAGGTCCCCCACCTCTGCTATAGTGGAAGCTCCTACCTACAACTAGTTTTAGTACAAATGCAAAATACTTTCCTCAATAGCTGTAGTCTTAGCACTTCCATAGCTGGGAACTAGGGCAGATACCATGGCTCATGTATATTATGTAGAAGAAAGACTAGGAGATGGGAAAGAGATTTCATCGGCGGCCCTGGAAAGCTGCTACCCATCAGGTTTATATCTCTGATTATACAGAGATAATCAGACACATTATAGAACACCTCCCCATGTCCCCAGCCAAAGCACAGCCAACTGAACTACAAATATGCTTCCTTAAGTGGTTCAATGTTATATTTTTGTGTTTAAGTGCCTTTAAAAAAATACACAGTTGGCATTAACAATTATGCATCCTGTATCACATAGTTTGCAACCTGCTTTTTGCAACATAGACAAGATAGAAAAATAATTTTCACAAGTGACCCTGGAATACAAGGGAGATGTCTCATATTGGAAAGATGCTTTAAACAAAGTTGAACATTGACTTTCATTATTGCAGTAGGCTCTTCTGTTAAATGCCAAGAATTTACCTACTGTATTTTTGCATTTATAAGACGCCTCCATGTATAAGACGCCCCCTATTTTGAGGGACTCAGATTTAAGAAAGTGGGAGAGATGTATCCATGTATAAGACGCCCCCTAATTTTTGACATTATTTTTTAGGGGGGAAAACCTAGTCTTATACACTGAAAAATACAGTACTTCTTCCCCACTTCAATTCTGTTTAGTGTGGACAACCAAATAGTGCATGCAATGTACAACATTCTCAAAATAACTGGCTGTGGCTTCAGAAATTGCTTACCTTATAGAGCAATGCTAGTAAAACGATACCTTTTTCAGTGCACAATCTGTGTAGGATTCATTCAAAGTGGTGCTTTTTTAGGTGGATCAAGATAAGCAGAAGGAAGTCAGAATGGCCTTGCCCTTTTCATTTTTATTAAAGTACTAAGGCTAGGCATTCGAATTCCACAGTTAAAACACAACCATTCACTGAAGTTTAAAAAACATTCCATACGCTTTAGGAAAAGAAAGTACATGGAACGGGTAATACGATATAAAGGATTTCACCCCTAGGTCACTAGCAGTGACAGAGCACTTAACACATGACAGCTGCTTTCTGGTCTGAGTCCAGTGCCTACTTGCAGGTATCTTCCTGGTGAAAAACAACCCCCCACAATTTTGACCCTTCCTGATGATGTCAAGAGAGGCCAAAAACTTAATGAATGCTTCAAGAAGATTGCTTAGGCTTGTGATTAGTAGCACAAGAACAAAGTTCACTGGAGGAACGATAGGCAAACTAGAACTTCAGCTATTGAGGGGATTAAAAAAATTGTAGAGAGCAGTTGTTGCCAGTACAATGAAATTAGTACTCTTTGTGAACAATAAAAGCATGTCCACATTATTTAAGTTGCCTTTAGGCTTCGATGAAGCCTTCAGGTTTAAAGTTTCCCACCACATCAAATCCCTTTTGTAACTACCATAGTTAGTTCTCTCTCTCTGTCTCTGTTTTTCTCAGTCATACTGTAAAAGTTCTTCAGGGCTCTTGAACAATGAATCCATGTTGCTGTTACTCTTCTGTTGTGGTAAATGCAAACCTCTGTCCTCAGAGAAGTATAAAATTTTGGAGTTGGAAGGGGCCTTTGAGGTAATTTAATCCCACCCCACCCCCGCTCAGTGCAGGATTATTGCCACTGCAGCATCCCTGACAGATGGCCATGCAATTTCTTGCTTCATCTGTTCTATACATTTAAAGCAGTATCATGCTACCTTAAACAGGCATGGCTTCCCCCCAGTAATTCTGGGAACTGCAGGGTGCTGAGAGTTGTTAGGAGACCCTTATTCCCCTCACAGAGCTTCAATTCCCAGAGTTCCCTGGGAAGAGGGATTAATTGTTAAGCTACTCTGGAAATTGCTGAGGCGGAACCACCAAAACTACTTAACAATAAAAGGAATACACAGTCTTAACGTAACTTCAGTGGGATTGCACTGGAGTAAGTTGGTTATGTAGCTTATAAATTACAATGTGCAATTTATTGTATTAAGCAAAGTAAAATCCGATGATTGACATGAGCTTCTTTTTATAAAGTTTGTGAATACTATAATGCAGGATAAAAATAGATTCTTGCCAAACATCCATACTATTTAGGAATTAAAAGTGTTCTCAAGCAGACACTAAAGAGAGATCCATTTATCATTTATCTTTTAATTTTAAGTTTTTACTTTAAACATTAAAGGTTTTAGATACTAGCTAAAACTGGGCAGGCAGTATACCCTTGTAAAAGCTTTGTTATTATACAGTGGTTATTGGAAGAGTCACCATTTTCCAGAAGAAGATTTGTTTGGCAGTAAATTCTTGATCAATCAAAGATCTCAACAAGAGTCATATGATTGCCTTATAACACATTCCTTATACAGTTAACTCAGAAAAGTTCCACTACAGTGAGACTTACTCTTAAGTAAGTGTACATAGGATTTCAGCCTTGGACTATGTACAGAACTTGTGGGGGGGGGACTTCCATTCTGTTTATATAAGAAGAATAAATTGAATTCTGAAGATGACTGTAAATAAGATGAATTTTTCAAAATAAAAATTTGATGCATTTATTTATAAAACAATGCATGCGCTACTGTTCCATCCAAAAAGGAACTGATGGCCAACAAAGTATAAACAAGTACAAACATAACCCAAAACAGCCAAGTCTAAAAGCGGAATAAAAAAATACAAAAATAGCAGAGAGAGCCAGAGCTCACAATATATAAATTTAATCAGTAGTGGGCAGCAGTGCTCACCTAACTTCCTGACAGCTGAAATGCTGCTGCTTACTGGGAGGGAAAGGTAGTGGTGAGATCACTGTGGTGGAAACACATAGGCAGAACCAGTCCAGTCGTCCTGATAGTGCATTTGCACCACACTGACCTCCCCATCCCCACAGCCCTTCCTCTCTGTTTATTTGTTTGTGCAGAGTGGTTGCATCCCATTCTTCAGCCAAAAAGCCTCCTCAGAAGGCTTACAT